TTCTGCAATAGTCTAACTCACAGTGGCCCAAATTAGTCAAACAAATCTGTCTATTGTTCAAATCACCACACTCAAGTCCTCCAAAGGGGGGCCTAGGTTCCCTTTGAAATACATGCGGGCCATGGTGTGTCCCAGTTTTAACGAGTGTGTCCCATGCACCCTGATGAGGTGACGTCAAAACAGAACCAGCACACTGGGGCCCATTCATGTGCTTGTAACCCCGGGCTCATATAAATTCCACTGTAGATAGAAAACATACAGGCCCATGGCCTGCTGCCCCAAACAGCACAGCTGTTTGGCCCCACTGCAGCGGTTTGGCAATAAGACCAAAATACAGACCTAGCAGGCTGCTTTAAAACAATTGCAACCCGAATGTAGAAACAAAACAACATAAAAATAAAATGACACAATGACACACAATTTTAGAGATGTATTAAGTTTTGGACAAACTTACACAAATGACAAATGTAATGATTTACAATTTACAAAGCAATGTAAACAAGACGATTATGCTGATCAAATAAGACACACATACTGTAAAAATCACATGAAACAGAATATACATTCATGACTGATTTTACATACTTTACATGTCACCCCAAAGCAAACACAACTGAGCTGTTTTCTGTCAAAATCAGACCCATATTCTCTCTCCTGTTGGACCTGTTGGTGGTGTTCTTGGCAGGGGGCAGGCTGAGGTTACCCAGGTGGTTCTTCTCCTGTTCCACTTCCCTCGCACTGACTGGGCCGATGATCCAGACCAGACGTGATCGCTAGGCAGTTTTTTAAATACTTGCCAGGACAGTGCACGTTCCAACAGACCTGGAACAAAGTCCAAACCATTATGATACCACTCATACCTGCTTATTCAACAAACCCAGACACAAAGCTGGCTCATACAGACACACTTTACCTCAACCCCCTACCCCAACTCCCCGCCTCTCTGCCTCATTCAAAGAAAGCTTCCACTGATTTAAAGCTGTGTTAAAAAGTGAAAGACAGCAGAAAGAAACATAAAGAGAAGAGGAAGTCTACGCAAAAAGTGTGAACTGTCACACCCGACAGTCGCAGAAATATGTCGTATGATTTCTGCCTCTCCTGAAAAAAAGTATCACCTCCTGTCATGAGATGCTTACAGCTCTCTTGACACTGGAATGCGGCCGTTTGTCAGATTTCAAACCTAAATATTTATCTAAAGGGTCTTACCAAGCTACATCTGTCTATTGCATGTAGTAGACAACTTCAGTAACCATGACGATGGCAAATACTGGCCATGTTGGGGACACAATTGCAATAAAAACTTAAACATCTAGAGTGAATTTATGAGGTGGAATCTGTAAGTAGTCATAACTGCCCCCGATTCATCTTATTAGACTGTTGTTTTGTAGGATGTGTGCATTCAGATGATACTGATCAGTGTTTTGGTTTAGATATATCTATAGGGTTCTCCATGCTGGCACACAACCCATTTTAAGCAAAACCCATTATATTAACAGTGCATGTAGAGTGTATACTATGTACTGCATAGCCATTCTTTTCTACATTTCTACAAAACTATACCAGCTCTCGAAACTATATAGTTTTTTTTTTTTGTATCTTTTTTTTAATTTTATTAAGTGACAGACAAGGTGACATGAGGGACAAATACATCACAGCACGTGGACTACAAGTACAGACAGTGGACAAACGGTACAGATAACAACAGAATACAACGTAAAGTTACAATGATATATATATATATAGGTAGTATAGGTGTGTGTGTGTGTATGTGCATGCATGCATGCATGCATGTGGATGAGAGGCAGATGGTATGGTATTATATACACTTATAATATAGCATAGGTAGATGATACACTAAAAATAATTAAGTAAATAAATTAAAAAGTATAAATATGAGAAGAGAAGGAAGAGGAAAGAAAACGAGAAAAATAAAAGTATATAGTTTTATTGAATTTATAGAGGTTGGGGATTGCATTTCATAGTATGTTGTGTCTACTATTGAAGTTACCACTGTACTACTGGGGAATAAGAACAAAAAATATCATAGGGTTGTTTTACAAAGCACTTTGTAGGTCAAATAGCACAGATCAAAATGACATAGTTTTGAGTTAAAACTATGTGTTTTAGGGAATAACTGTGGAGAAATACGAAAGCAGGGAATGGAAACTGAGGACTGGCCGCTGCAGCAGAGCAAACTACGTATATTATTGAAGGTCTGAAAGCAGCACCGGTTATTAGAATTGTAACTCTTTTATCAAGCTGACAGCAGTATTTAACACTTTTTAAATATGTCAAGCTCAGTAGCAGAGCTTTCTGTTGCACCCCATTGCTTTCTAGACATGCACGCAGCATGTATTTTGCTTTGGATCAAGTCTTAATTAGTAGCATGACATTCAAATGAAATAATAGACAGGGCTGTGGCTGTGGCAAATTACAAAATCAGTCTTAGCAATTACTAAATACTAAATTGAAAACATGTGGCAGCTAGAAGCAAAACGTGTTGTGGTCCTAACAGTAATTTGTAATAGTAGTAAATCTGACCTTGTATCTCTTAAACCAGTCACACTCATCAGGGCTGGTGTATGGTACCAGAAGAAAATGCTTTTGTGGTGAAAAATCTCCAAAGAAAGTTACATAAATCGCCATATGAGAATGTTACAGTGGATGTGTATGTCATCTATATGAATTGTAAATATCAGTGCAGCAGAACTGGTATTTTAATGACATCGAATTAAATCCTGACCAGTCTCTGGCTCCAACGGAAATGTTGTACAGCTTTTTTGATTTTAGGGACATTAATGGATAAATATATATATAACATTGGGGGGCACAATATTACACATCTAAATGTAATTACTGCAAAATCTCCATCAGCTTTTAACTTAAGTTGCTATGCTTTTATAATCTAGACCTTTGCTATGATGAGGATGAAAGACAACTTTATCCTAAATTATCATCCTCCTCATAAAAAGAGAATCCCTGTGACGCACAAGAGACCAACTCAGTGGTTCCATTACGCAGAGAAGTTGTGAAATATGACCAATGTGTCCCAGAGGGCCCTGATGGCCCAACTTAAGACACAGTTGCCTGGGGATATATTCATGTACTATTGTCCATCATGGTTGGGCTAACTTGGGCCAGTATAAAGTCCAGTGGTGTCCTGGGACAAAAATAAACAGTTAGATCTACCGTGTCTTCTCAAATATGACCCTTCTCATGGAACGACAGAGTTGAATGGTCTTGTGCTGATTTGGTCTATTGCCATTGGTATAACTCTATAGATAATATAAGTCTATTGAATTTTGGACACTAGTTCACTGGGATTTGTATGAATATGTCAAGACTAGTCATTTGACTCTGTTCATAGTCCCTTCTGCCTGGCTAATATACTGTCCTCCTTATATACTCTGACTTTACACATGCATGAAAGGAATCATGTTACTTGAAAATGGACGTATGCCACATAATGTAGACTCAAGTAAGACCATCAATTAACTTACCATTGGAACATTTTAGTCATTAACCTTGATTTACATGGATGAGAATAAAGAATGTTTCATCAATTAATTGTACACCTCTTGTCTCTTGTCAATCTACAAGTCACATGTTAACACAAAGCCATATACCATACATGACCTAACCAAACATTAAGGATATATTGGATGTAGGATTAATCCAAGTGGATGCGAGTTGAACATGCAACACTGTTTTGTATGGTTGTTTTTGGTGTCAGAGTGGAGTGGAGTGGAGTACAGGACAAACAATAGCATATGAAGAAACAACAAATACAAGAACACACAGACATGTTCATCATTACTTACCATATATGACAATTAGACTGATCTTAGAGATTTTTACACAGTCTGTAAAGACAATAAATCAAATCATAGAGCAACATAAAAAGTAATGTTTACTCTTTGACATAAGTGATGTTGGACACTTTAGTCTGGTATCAAAAGTCTTAGCTTTAGTTTCACAAATATTAGCTATTTGTCACCAAGGAACAGCAGCACAAGTAACACAGGGATTGATACATACTGGTGGAGGACTGAGAAATGACAAAATATGTATATGGTCTAGTGTCTTCAACAGCAAATATGAAACAGAATACACATTAAACAACTGGAGGCAGTTTGACAAACTAATAATGGCTGTCACGGATAAAACAGCATGTTCTTTAGCTATGGCACCTATGGTCTCAAGGTTTCTTGCACAGTCTATACTTCTCCTGTTCCTCTCCTCCTCTCATTCATTGTATTGTTGTGTCTGAGATGTGTTGAACCACATGTCTTGGCAGGTGTAGCGACTGTATTATCCAGGCTTATGAAGGGCAGATCCAGGCCATCCCCTGCTTTGGCTGGTAATTTGCATTTTTATTGCCGTTGTCGCATCCTCAGTTAATACACCATTGACTCCCAGAGCCACCCCTGGACCTAACGGCATCACCTT